GGAATTTATCTATGAAATCTAAACTTCTTTGAATTGGAGTAATTGTTCCTAGATGAATGTTATGTCCTAATAACCTAATAATTGTTTGACATAAAACTACCTTTTTAGCAGAAATTGCTAAACCATCATCAATATAAATAATTAAAAAATTTGAATAAGGATTGAAAATATCATTCATAATTTTTTCAAATTCAGAAGGAGCGTTTTGGAGTTTGAATGGCATAACATTCCATTCGTATTATCCGAAAGGGACATTGAATGAAGTCTTATAGCGATCTTCTTCTTTATATTGTATTTGCCAAAAACCTCACTTCATATCAAATTTAGAAAAGATCACAGCTTTGAATAACCTATTTAATGGGTCTTTCTTTTGAGGTAATGAATATTTAATCCATTAATGAGCTTTATTGAGAGGTTTGTAATTGATAACTAAACGAGGGACTCCTCGTTCAATTTCGACAGAATTGTTAACATGAAATACTAAACAACTCCATGGCGATTTACTTGGTCAGATAAGTTTTCTTATCCAGTAAATAATTGATTTTCTTAATATAGTGATTAAGTAATTTTTTATTCATTTGAATAATAAGGAATTTTGTAGGAATATTTGATTCATGAAAATCGTGAGTATATGGTAGGGACACCATATGATTTCTCCTATTCCAAAAAGCATTTGAAAAGTAGAGCATATCTCTTCCTCGATACGCTTTTGAAAAAAAGAGATTTGCTTTTGAAAAAAGGAATATTTTAAAGAGAATAATGTAACATCATTAACTATTCTCTCATACCACTCTCTTATGGCTCTGATACCAAATGAGGTCCAGGTCACGAGAGAGGGACAAGAGAAGTAGAGGTTGATGGAAACAATGAATTTATTGATGTAAAACTTTGAAATTACAATATGAAAATTGATATTTGAAGATTACAAGATTGAATCTCGAATTTGAAAATTGTAAAATTCTTAAAGAAAGTCTAAAAATTACAAGGATAATTAAAAAAACTTTCTTGAAGTGTAGTATCTTGTAGTATCTCCCGCTCTATTACACTTGAAGAGTTTCTTCTTCTTCTATCTTCATTTATAGTTGAAACTCCGGACTTGAAACCAAATTGAATTTGATTGAAGAATCTTGAAGATAACTTTTTCTATCATTTGAACAACTTTTGAAAAGCAATTGCAGCTACTTTTGATCATTTCACTTTTGAGAAACAATTGCTACCATAATTAAATCGCCACTTTTCCATTTCTCCCTGGTTTTTCATATTTACTTTAGTAAAGTTACTAAACTTCTTTCTCCATTTTTTATAATTGGCAAGGGGAGTAATAATAGTTTGTTTGGTGGCAAATACATTTTGGAAAAGAGAATCCTTTGATTTTTGAACCATATACTCTCAACTCATCAAGATAACCGGGTCTATATAGTCATTTTGAATGGGTGTTCTTTTGAGTTTCTTCTTCAACTAATTCATCAATAATTTCTAGACCAAAGCACATATCTTCATTTCTTTGTTCATAATCTGATGAGTCTGCTTGAGAAGAAGTTTCTTTTAAATCCTCTAGTCTGATCTTTTTGACGAAGATTCTGCAAGAGTAGCAATTGTTTCTGAAACAGCTTGCCGTTCTGGAGTTTTGCATTAACTAAACATAACCAATAATCTTGATTTTTTTGTGAGGAAATCAACACTTTTGTCAAGTTCCTTCTTTGATAACTTTGGAATGCCTGCATTCCTGTGTTCTTGGATCCATGAATTTACTATTTTCTCATGAAATTTTGATTATCATTTGATTTTTAATCTCCGAATAACCTTTTTAACATGACATTCAGAGCCTGGCTTTTCAATAATTTGATAGTCCCAACAAAATATTCATGAGACATTTAAATGATGAGCAAATTGAAATAAAAGATTTTATTGAGGTTTTAAAAAGGTTTTAGCCTCTTTTTTGAAATATTCGAACCCTTGAAAAGTAAGACTAGGTAAAATATTATCTTTAATTCCAAAATATTCGAACCATTTTTGGAACCATTTTGGAAAATTTAAAGAACAATTTTGATGGAAAAGTATAAATCAAGAATGAGTAATTGGTCTACAGTAAAATACATTAAATCATGCTTCTTGGTAATTAAAATAATTGAAAAGAGATTCGAATGAATCGTCTTTTGAGAGACGCGTTCTCTTCTCTTTCCATGGGTAATGTCCCCAGTCTTCAAATAACAGTACCATTTGAATTGATATTTTAGAAAAAATCAATATAATTTTTTTTTTGTTGATTTTGAGTATGAGTTATTACGGCTGATCTTGATTTGACGAGGATATCTTTATAATAAGCTCTAGATTTTTTAATATTTCTGGGCATATATTGAAAATTTGCAGGGAAAATATTTTGAAGGCACTCATTAAGAGATACCTATGAATCCAAGATGTTTCCATCTCAAAAACATGAAGAACACACTACAACAAAAACAGCCTACGACAGCGTTCAAAAAATATTGGCGTAGACCTTTTGCAATGTTTGGACGTGTGTTTAGACCCCTATTGCAACGTTTTTTAAACGTTGCCATAGTTTTTATTTTTATTTTATTTAACAGCAATTTACGCAAATTGATTGGAAAAATTGAAAATGAATCCTTATGAACAAACTGTGGAATTGCATAAAAATGATAATTTTATTATAAATTTTTGAATCCATACACTTGAATATTAGAATGTGATATAAAAACACCTAAATAAGAGTGAGTTTCAAAATGGTAATACATCAATTGATAGTAAAAGTAAAAGAGACAT